AGGACAATAATAGGAAAGAGGAAGTAAATGGTATTCAATTAAAGCATTTTTATTTGACTTTCAATATGTAATGTTGAAACAAACAATATCAACCGTGTTTAAAAAATTTTACATAATTAAAGTTGACTCCTCGATAGAGCAAACCTTGTGTAATTATTTTGGTGTTAGAGAAGAAATAAAATATAATTTTGATAAAATACAATATCAATGTCAACCATGTTGTTCAAAAACTAAATAATTAAAAAAATGTTTTTATTTCAATTTACTCTCTTCGTTGTTCTCTTTGGACCTACTCCTTTCTGTGTGGATCCCTGTTAATGTTCTCTCTATACTTCACTCCAACCATTTCTCTCGCTCATATCCTATCTAAAAAAGAAAAAATTTCAAAGTTTCACATTTCACATTAACCATTTTCATAACAGTTTATACCAGTACAAATTTTCTGCAAAAACAGCTGAAAATATTTTTACTGTAATTTTTGCATTTAAAAACATAAAAATTGACAAAAAAGAATACAAAGGAATCAAACAAATCTTAATTAATAATTTAAAATGCATTTTAAAGAGACTGTACTCTTTTGTGACATCTTTGTCCTCTGGTGTCGCACCAGAGAACATTTCTGTCACACCAAAGGATGTCCCAGCCTTTTTGTGCCAGTTAATGACCATGGCTGTGTCCAAAATCCCCTCTCATTCACTACTCCCTGCCCCCTATGTAGGGAGCTATATGTAGAGCACTATATAGTGAGCTCACTCGCATTATTAAAACAACACTTTCGGACACTACCACGATCGTTATTTCGGCGCCGTTAATTACGTCATTGCCGTTGGACAATCAGTTTTTTCTATCAGCGCAGTGCATGATGGTATATGGCTCGGTTAGTGACCATTGGTTGTACACTACTTTTCAAAATGCATTCTGGGATACATTGAGTGGACTATATAGGGTATAATAATTATCACCATACATTTGGACAGCACTACAAAATGGTGAGCTGTGTCCGAAATCACCCACTACTCACTATATAGTGAGTAGTGGGTGATTTCGGACACTGCCTATGTTATACCTAGCTAACGCGTCATTAGCAGTTAGCAGCACACATTAGCTAAATGTTCTATAATTATATACTTTAAAAATTTTGAATTAAAAAAATATAATTTAGGGCTGTCAAACCAAAGGACAAAAAAAGTAACACTTTTATAGTGGTTCGGAAAAAGCTAAATATTTTAACAATTCTGATCTTCACAGGGGGCTTCAGTACCATTAACTCTAATGGGGTCTTTCAACTAGATAAGGTTGTCTGTTGAATTGCCCGATTAAAATTAAGATATGGTGTCACACCAGAGGACATGGTTTTCAGTGACAAGATGTGTTAAGCTCCTACACTTTAGAAATATATGGATGAAATAAATAATTGCCATTTACTAAAATAGAAACATGTAACATTATGCCTGAGGTATTTATCAACATTTTTATGCTTGTCATTTTATTGTTTAACTTACAGACTTTCAGCTGTTTGCAAAGAACAAAGTCAACAAACAAAATAGTTTAACTCAACAAATGCTTCAAGTGGTTTCCCCAAATACAGCTGAAAATGCTAAACTTATGATTATCCTGTAAAGTCTAATAATCAAACCTGATTTGCAGTGGGGGTTGAATACTTTTGATTGCAACTGTAGAAGAGAGACCGATGTAACAAACAAAACATTCAGAGCTGCTCTAATCAAAATGTTTATATCAACAATGTATCACATGGCTACATGCATGTGAAAGGAGTCGCTCAAAGTGATAAACCTAAAGAATTATCACACCATTCTGCAGTTCCCCTCAGGTCTACAGAGCATTTCTACACTGCTCAAAAAAATAGGGAACACTAAAATAACACATCCTAGATCTGAATGAATGAAATAATCTCAACACAACAACAAAATCACACAAAAAATATTATGGAATCAAATTTATCAACCCATGGAGGTCTGGATTTGAAGTCACACTCATCAAATCAAAGTGGAAAACCTACACTACAGGCCGATCCAACTATGTCTTTAAAACAGTCAAATGAGGCTCAGTAGTGTGTGTCGCCTCCACGTGCCTGTATGACCTCCCTACAACGCCTGGACATGCTCCTGATGAGGTGGCGGATGGTCTCCTGAGGGATCTCCTCCCAGACCTGGACTAAAGCATTTGCCAACTCCTGGACAGTCTTTGGTGGAGGAGCAAGACATGATGTCTCAGATGTGCTCAATTGGATTCAGGTCTGGGGAACGGGCGGGCCGGTCCATAGCATCAATGCCTTCCTCTTGCAGGAACTGCTGACACACTCCAGCCACATGAGGTCTAGCATTGTGTTGCATTAGGAGGAACCCAGGGCCAACCGCACCAGCATATGGTCTCACAAGGGGTCTGAGGATCTCATCTCGGTGCCTAATGGCAGTCAGGCTACCTCTGGCGAGCACATAGAGGGCTGTGCGTTCCCCAAGAAATGCTGGACACTACGTTGACAGACACAGCAAACCTTCTTGCCACAGCTCGCATTGATGTGCCATCCTGGATGAGCTGCACTACCTGAGCCACTTGTGTGGGTTGTAGACTCCGTCTCATGCTACCGAAAGCACCGCCAGCATTCAAAAGTAACCAAAACATCAGCCAGGAAGCATAGGAACTGAGAAGTGGTCTGTGGTCACCACCTGCAGAACCACTCCTTTATTGGGGGTGTCTTGCTAATTGCCTATAATTTCCACCTGTTGTCTATTCCATTTGCACAACAGCATGTGAAATTGATTGTCAGTCAGTGTTGCTTCTAAGTGGAAGTTTGATTTCACAGGAGTGTGATTGACTTGGAGTTACATTGTGTTGTTTAAGTGTCCCCTTTATTTTTTTGAGCATTGTATGTCTTTCAGCTCACTGTTTTAGGTTTTATGGTCCACACTTTACCGGGCTCTACAGTGCAACAAATTCAGTTTTGTCAGGACAACTTTCATCAAAGACTAATATTTAAAAGTTATATTTGGCGGTATGGCTCTGTTCTGGGATCTCCCTGCACATCCACGCGCCTACATGGAAAGCAATGAGGCAAGCTGCTCTCCCCGCCCTTCCACGTGCCTATGTGGAAAAGCCATAAGGAAGGGAGAGCACCTCCCTGCCCATACATATGCATACATGGAAAGCCCGAAGCAGAGAGTAAAGAACCCCCAAAACACCACACCGCCGTTCCGCGTGCCTACGTGGAAAGCCATAAGGTGGGGAGAGCACCAACTGAACATGTATTGGCCAGTTATTCTAGATGACCTGAGTGAGGCCATTAGAGCTATACACTCTAGATTAAGTAGCGGTTATGAAGCATACACAGGGCGTTTGAATTATACATTAAAATTTGGCTTGCCATCGCTAAGTATTACAAAAACGCCATGTAACCAAATGTAAGGTTATTGTGCTAGAAGTGGTTTACTCATAGCCAGACTAAATCAGGTCTATAGTAAACCTAGACGGCTATTGCTTGCTGGGATGTGAAGGTATCACCTTGGGCTTCTGACATTATATAGACTAAATGTTTAATGGATTAATCAAAAAAGCCTGTTCAATCCAATATTATATAGCTTCAGTAACGGAGGCCACAGGTTCAGGTTCCCTGCAGTCACTGCAGTTCTAAGACCGTAGTTCTTTTGCAACACCGCCATCTAGTGGATTGGTGGTGGTCTTGCACACAATAGAAAATACCACAAAATACATAGGCCTACAGCATGGCACTTATTTATGGGCTAAAGGTTTTACGGTACAAAAAAAATCTACAAATCTGAACAATCCGCAGATGTTTTTACGCACGCATGGTGCACCAAGTCACAGACTTCTAAGCTTAGATGAGTAGCAAGCAGCCACTGAACAGACAGGCCGAAATACACACAGGAAGTCAGAAAAACATGTTTGGAGTCATGGGCCGGACAGATTCTCAGGTGTTATGTTTTGGATCGTATCTGTGTCACTAATAAAGTAATCAGTTCAGGCTCTCAGAGGTTAAACTCTGCCTACACAGCCACTGGAAAAAGCAGTTCCTTGTTTAATTCAGACTCAATTATTTATCTTATGGGGACATTAGAAGCACTGATCGATATGCTGTGTTTTTTAGTTTGGCAACTGCCTCTGTGTGCTTACATGGTGGCAAAAGCCTATTGGATTGAGCAACCGATTTCTGTTAAAAACCCCTTTTAATCAGGTAGTCTCATGAAGATCAAAATGTATTTTGCAAGAGACCTTGCTTAGACTTCTGTATTTTTACTTAAGTGTGGTATTGCTACCTTTACATTAGTAAAGGCTGTGAATACTTATTCCACAATTGCTGCAAATTAAACAGAGAAAGCACATAAGACAAAAACTCAAAACCAAAACTTTATCCAGCACTTTCCACTTTGACAAAGATGTTTTCTGAGAAATGACTTTTATTCGAACATGTCTGCTGCATGCTGTTCTTAGTCCCTCCTCTGTGAGAACGACATTTTAAATGTTAACATACACTTTAAATCAGCATAAGGAATTGCAACTGACACTGTTAAATCATTTTAGCTTGTTGAATTGTTACAGAACATCCATCTATTTTGTGCTTATTACCCTTCATTCTTTTGGAGTATTCTAGATCAACAGAGAAGAGATCACTAAACACAAGGGCATTTATGGCAATGTTAGAGGATTAAACAGTCAGTTCTTCTATATCTTATAAGCACTGACTGACATCCTGGTGTAAAACTGTATTCCCTTTGGACCTTTATAGCTCTGCGTGTGAGGTCAGTATGCAGTGTAGTAGAGGCATCTGCATGTGCAAAGTGCTGTGTGTTTTTGAAATCAAACAGATGAGATGCTCTATGCACAGGATGTTGATTATTGCCAATACAGAAGAAAGGAACAAATTGGATACAACAATGTGGAGAAGACACACAGGAAAGATGCAACACTTCTGTCACGCTGAATACACCTTGATAAACTTCAGTGTTTGTGGAAAACAGAAGACATTTGCAACAGAGCTCATTTATGACTGGTAGTGCAACACGGCCACATAGGAAAAAAAAATAAATGCAGGTTTTACAAGAGGAAAGATTTGCATAAATAATATAAACTAAATAAAACACAGGTAAAACAAAATAACTTCACTAAGACAAGACACAACAGATAATGCTATTTTTTTATAGAATAAATGAATATTAATTTCTATAGATGTTGCAGATTTAGATTCTGATTCTAAAAAGTGATGAAATATTTAAAACAAATGAAAGTCTTGTAAGATGATTTAACACCTGGGATGTCAGAAACTGCATCACACACAAATATCACTATTCACCACCACACAGATTCTCACGAGATCAGTGACATTAACAGAAGAAAAGGAGTCGTCAGGTCTCAGTCCTCAAACCTCCCCTCCAGGATGCTTTCAAAGGTGAATGGGAGGAACTTGAAGCCCTGGCCTGTGTAAAACTTGTTTTGAAACTCCACCCTGTAAAAGAAAATCAAATTAATCAGAAAAACAATGACTAGGATCCAATAACCAAGGGGGTAAGCCAGAGCTCGAACAGTGAAGCCGACCAAAGCCTGCATGGAGGATTCCATATAGGCCCAAAAATGATGTCAAAACCCTGTGACAGCCCGTCGCACATGAGACATAACCGTATTGCTTAGATTATAAACTCTTGGCAATCTTACAATAAAAATATGTTCGTCCATCAGTGATGCTACGTTGGTGTTTGGCAGGTGAGCCTTGTTGAGGGGGCTGATTAAACAGACACGAGTTAGACAAACACACTGAGCCATTACGTCATTAAACCACGGTTATGCTGCGCGATCATGTGCAATAGATGGTGCTGATAGGAAGTAGCCCTGTAGTAGTATTTTATTGGTCCAAAACTGGCTTCACTGCTCTCCATTCAAACCAGCAGGGTGGCTTTGTCCAGTAATATACTGTCCATGACAAACAGGCAAATAGTGGTGATGGCTGCCAGGTTAGGTAATGCTGAGCAGAGCAGTTGTGGCCGATGAGACCTGCTCTTCACTAGTAACAGTCTGCACCCACTCGCGTGTACATCCCTGCTCTTGGACCCGGTCGTGGGGCCAGACACCTCTTCCCTGAAAATGATCAGGTTCTATTTTTAAAAGGTGAATGGTGTTAGTGTTGGCCACATAACCTTTTAACTGAGGAGCCACGAATACCTGCCGTCCCATAGTCTGTCTGCTTGTAAAAGTGCTCATAAATAATTCACATCAGTGCTTTTTGCCCATTAGTGTCTTAAACAATCCCAAGAGGATATAAAGATATTAAGACCTGAAGATTTCTGGTTATCTTTACTAAATCACCCCTAATTCACAGGGCACATTTGTTTATAATCCTGTAGATATATTTGTAGTCTTTTTAAATAACACTATTACAATTTTTTTAGCTAACTGATGTTGTCATTTCTCTGCATATACTCTACATTAAGACAGGATATTAGTGTTTAATGGTTAAGGTATCTCCGTAACCACACACACCCCACCCACACACGTAGGGAGGCCAACTAAACTGTTGTCCACCTCTACTTTGGCAAACAGACTTACTTTCGTGTCATACATGTTACATTCAGTAGTCACATCATGCCCTGACACAAATCAATATTATGATTGGTGTTTTATATTCTCTTCACTGCACTTGATTGTCCCAGGAGGCCATTTAGTGAAAGCTGAGTCACCCAGCATTCCTGTGTTAAGCATAATTATAGAAATGTAAATGTGCCAGTGGATTAAATAACCACAATGACATTCAGCAAAGCTAGACAGAGACATTAATGAGGGGCCAACAAAGGATCATCCCGGTCATAGCAAGCAATCATAGACTGTTCACACAGGCACAGGAAAAATGGAAAGCACAACTCAGACTAGAACCAGACATGTTCCAGGCCACAGGCCAGGAAAGAGAGCTGGTGATGGGAAACCACAGTTTCTAACTGGCACACACCCTTGTTGACTAGGAGACACACCTGGGCATTGTAAATGCTTTGTTACATAATTTGTTGTGAACTCTCAACTGTGTCTATTTAAAGTAAACAGGATGCTCTGAATCTGGTGTTTTGTTAAGAGATGATCAGCTTAATATTTTCAGTGTAGTAGGTCCTTTCCCAAATACAGTGATAATGTCTGATGTCATGTTAGTTAATATAAACCAATTCTGTGTTCAACTGACCCATGTTGGACTTTTATTGTTTTACTTTTTTCTAAATAAATGGTTCTCACCTCACATCTGAATTTACCCCTCAACTGTGACATCTTGAACTCATTTATTTTTAAATGCGAAGAAGCTGGTCCTGGTTCCTTTAGTTGAAAGAAGGTGGGCATAGACCTATTGTGTAAAAGTCACTTACAAGCAGCTGCAGTACCAACTCATCTATACAACAGTTTCTGTGCACCATGGGGATCAGAAACTATTCTGAGAAACTATTGTTGTAGTACTTGAGACCAGTCTTTGTCTTGAGACCGGTCTTATGACCTCTTTTTGATGGTCTCTGTCTCGACCGAATTTGTACTCAGTCTCAGTCTCGGACATTGAGGACTCGGGATTTTATTTCAAGACCAGGACTTTGGTAATATCAATAAATTGCTTTTGCATTGTATTGCTTCAAATGCAACCAATAACCCTAATTAAAAAGGCGTTGTTACCATTGGGACTGTCACCCCTCCCGCGATTGTAACCATGAAAAAGGAGTGCTGAAAAAAAGATGCTTACGTTGATTTCAGCTCTTCGTGTTTGTATGTGGGTGTTTTAATGGGAATGTGGATCTTTCATATCAATTTGAGCAGTATGTATGATCTGGTTCCACATTGTGTGTGTCACGTAATGTGGGGAACTGGTCTTGGTTTTGACTCAATCTCGCCCTCTCTCCGTCTTGGTCTAAACTTGGTCTCAGCCAAAAAAAGTCTTGGTCTTATCTCAGTCTAATAAACTCTGGTCTTGGTATTGACTTGGTCTCAGTTTCTTGACTACAACACTATGAGAAACAGTAGAGTAAAACCTAGCCAGCAGATGGAGCTATAGGTCTGTAGTTTACAGTGCCAACAGTCATGTAGCATTAGCAAAGCCCTCTTAAAATAGCAAATCCAGTGTACAGGAAATTAGGTTTGGAATTATAATAACAAAGCAATTAAAACACAAACATCAACCATAGCATCAAAAATAGTTATAGTTGAGTCAACACCCCTTTAAAACAATTAAAAACTTAACATAATGGGCTCCACAGATAAAACTCAGATCAAAGTTATTAAGCAGAGGAAAAAAACTAAGAAAGTAAACAAAATACAGGCCCAAAAACAAATGCAACACATAAAACACAATTACTCAACTCACCAGTGCAGTCGCAGCGCATGCAAGAAGGCTGACAGGCCTTCCATAATGAGAAGAATGACAACTGTGAGAACAGCAAAGAAGTAAAAGACTATGACCAGAAGCAAGAAGCCCCCGAGGTTGCTGGTAGAAAGGCCAATGTGCATCACCATGGACCACAGAACTTCTGACAACTCTGTGCAGGAGACAAAGAAGACACAGATTTCAGTGCTGTGATGAATTTGTGTCGCATGCATTTCTTGTGAGTGTAGAAGTCCACTTCTCTTCATAAAAAGGTGAGCGTACTGCAGTGTTAATTTATAGTCCAACATTGATGATAAAGGGAGGAAATGTGTGACTTACGTGCATGAGCCAGACTGAGGGCCCAAAGCCTAAGATAGGAGGCAGTATTGGAGATACAGCCCAGGCAGTACTCTATGGTGTGGATCGCCTGATGCACTGCCACATCCGCAAAGTTAAACTGTTGGTCAGAGATACAACATCAAAACGTATATCATATGCATATCAACGTGAACTTTTAGAAAACAACCTCTCTACAACAGGTCCTGAGGTCCACATAGGAGAAAGTCTGGTTCATTGTGTGTGCATAATCATTTAGGTAATTGATAGGAAAGCCATTAGCCCCCAAATTAACAGAGGCATCATCGTCTTAGGACCCTGTGAACCCAAAGAATCAGCTGGCCGACTGGCGCCCACTGCTTGAGGAATCCCTGCAACCCATGTTTCAACAAGTGACTTCCTGGAACACACTGAATACACAGCGACTAACATTTACATTTACATTTACACACACACACACACACACACACACACCCCTAGACACACACACACACACACACACACACACACACACAACCCTAAGAGAGCAGAAGGCAATGGTTGACAGCATACATAGACAACAAAGCGAGGTACAGAAAGTGATAGAATTGCTAGACATGCACTTTGACAGGAGGGGATAGGTTGCAGGGTGGAGGTGCAGCATGAGCTCCTGTCCTACCTCTTCCTCCTCGTGGGCCTTGACAGCAGGTGACAAAAGGCAGTACTTGGTTATTTACAACACACACACAGATTGACAGACATAGACAAGACACCAGTAAACAGAAAAAGTAATGAGAGAAATCAGTTACTCAGTTAAAAAAGGAAAAAGGGGTGATAACATTACAGGATGACAATACTCTGCTCACATGTGCAGTCAGGGCATTTTAGAATTAAATTAGGGGAATGTATCAATTGATTTTTTTTTAAAAAAAAGGTCCACATAAAACAAATCCCAATTCAGCTGTTTCCTGTAGTGTTAAAGCTCTTCAGGATAAACAACTTTCACAAGAAGTTAAATCAGCCTGCATTGTCTTTATATTTACAAGCAACTGCACACACACACACACACACACACACACACACACGGCAAAATAAGAAACACAGATTTACTCCAAAAAGTAAACAACAAAGTAAGTGACATTTCTTAATTTAATCGCTCAATAGCATTTACTATAACACTGGCAGTACGGAGCTTGTTAAACCCTTTGGCCAAACTGGACTTTCATCTATAATTGATGTTTGTCATTGTAACAGTGGAAGACGAAACATGAGGTATCGGTTTCTGTTTCCAACTGTGGCTGAGTGACTGAATTATTCAAAGATTTCAGTGGATCAGGGAGGTGGGAAGAACACAGGTGTTAAACCTGTGTTCTTCCCACCTCCCTCACCAAAGTGCAGGCCTGCCCTTACTCCAGCTTGAGGATGAAAATGCAGTTAGTGATGAGGAAATGTCTCTTTTACCTCAGGCTCCTCCTCAGAGTGCTGTGAGAGCTGGTCATGCTGGATGATTTCAGCCTGATCCTCAGTGGGCCCATTGCCCACCCTGATCCCTCCAAAGTTCGCCGTACCCTGACATAGATGATGGGTAAAAAAACTAAATTAAAATGTGATAAATAACCACTTATTGTGTTATAACTGAGCTACAATGGGTTATTTTAAGTGATAGGACTAGCAGCTCTGCTTGATCTTACCAGGTTTTTCCGCCATAAATACTGTCTCCGCAGAACTAGAGTTTTCACTATTAACATACAGGGAACACAAGCCAAGGCGATTACCACCAAGAGTGATTGTATTCCCATCTACATATTCAGGGGAGAAGAAAGAAAAAAACAAAACATTAAAGACAGACAACTAGCTTGTTGTGGTTAATTTCAAGACAAAGGATATCTGTAGGTAAATACCAAGTGTATCTGACCTGTCCTCTGTACAGAGGTTTGTTACTGGGGTCGTTGTAGTTGAAGAGAAACATGTTAATAAAGGCGATGAGGAGACTGGGAGCATCCCTGGAGGTGCGTGCATCGTATGCGACCCACTTATAGAAGATCAGAATGGCTAGGTAGCCAAAGAGGCAGGACATGAAGACAATTTCTGGGATGAATCCCAAGTAGATATTCAGTGGCTTCTTGAAATACCTGCAGAGAATAAAACATCACTTCGTCACCATAGCAAGTATTCACACATGCAAAGAGAAAGAAATACAAGATACAAGAAATGCAAGTATAAATGGGGATTAAAAGCTCACAGGTGGTTGAAGAGACTGAGAGAAACTCCAAACAGCATGTGGATGACTCCCAGGACAACAGACATCTTCATCTTAAACGAGTTCAGGAATGTCAGCTTGTTGGTGGCAATGTTCCATATCTGGGAGACAAAATGGTCAAAGATAGTGTTGAACTGTTCAATATCTTTTCATTGAGAGTGGGCTTCATCTTTAAACAATATTCAATTACAACAAACCCTAATTGTAAGCAAGTTTATCTCAGCATTACCATTAACTGTTAGATTTCAGCAACAAGCTATTATTAATGGTTTATTTTTAATTGTCATATAATAATTTACAAAGACACAGCTTGAAAGCAGGTAATGACAAACACTTAAACTAGTTTGCACAGCAGAATAAAGAGAATACAGATTACAAAGAAAAATACTCACCGGATCGATGCCAATGGGGTACGGCCCTGTGAACACTCCATCTACAGCTGGGTCCAACTGCAAAATTTTATTTCCTTCCAGTGTGTCAAACCTGACCACGATGAGAACTCCAATTAGTTTTGTAACTTGAACTACTGTACACCGGATTAAAGCTCCAGTCCTTCATCCAGTGATTACCAATGACACTTACGTCCAGTTGCCTCCTACTCGAGCGTCGAACATGGGCCTGACACTCCAGCCAGAGCCAAATACATTGAGGGACTTGGAGAAGCAGTCATTGTAAATGATCCCAGTGTAGATTGAGAAGATTCCCATTAGCAGGATGATGTAGCGCCCAGCAAACACCATGCCGAACATCTGCCAGAAAAAAAACAAACCAGAGAGACAAGTTGAAGCTGCATCTCTGCATTTATGATAAATAAATCCACAGAAGCATCAAGTACAGGTCCAGGGCTGGTGTATCACCAGTAAGAACGGTGTAAGGCTGATGAGATGGCCATGATGGGATCCATACCTCATTATCGTTCTTCTGGGCCATCAGCCTGCTCTCTCTTAATACAAGGTACAGGGCAGCACAGGTCATGAGCACCCCGTGGCCCAGGTCCCCAAACATAACCGCAAAGAGGAAGGGGAAGGTGATGATGGTGTATGGTGCTGGAGACAAGGAGGTAAGGAGGCAGGCATCACATGAGGGGAGGGTGGTGTGGCAGACATGTGTCATGATACACAACATGTCCCAACAGGGTGACAATGGGTGATGAGGCAGCCTTTCAGTATAGTTCAATACTACAGGCAGCAGGGTAAACAGATTTTTAAACAACTGCCTTAAAATATATATATGATAACACTGATTGTCTAGACAGTGAGCCAGAGGTCCAAGTTTTAGGGATACACAGATAAAAGATGCAACTGATGTTCACCTGGGTTGATCTCACGGTAGCTGCCAATTCCATAGGCATCCACAATGTTTTGGAAGCCTGAGGTGAACTTGTTGGTCTTGTTAAAGGTGGGTGGGGTCTGCTTGGTTTGCATTCTATTGAGGATGGAAGGCACAGTGGAGCCACTCTTTTCCTAAAGTGCAGAACACAATGTCATGCAACACAAGATTATGATACACATTAGTTTTCTTACACAGACCTGCGCTACTAGAACATTCTAGTAGAACAAACTGCCTGTTTGCCTACTGCGCAGGCAAACAGGCCATTCAGGAATTTGGAAGTGTCCTAGAGACATTTAAACAATCCTACTAATCTTTCTAAGAACAAGATCATGTGCTGAGAACGCTGAAAGCTAACTGTACACGAGGGTTAAGGGGGGGTAACCTGATATTTTCTCAATTTATATGATTTAGGGTCTCATTTCCCATCATTCTGAACTGACACCACGGCCTTCTTTAAAATTAGATTTTATTAAACTGATCAAATATTCTGAAAATATTATTAGCTTAGTTCAAACAGCCTGGCCGGACAACTTTGTGGAAAGGTGGAAGAAGTGCTACAGATAAGATCCTGATACAGTACATCATGGCCTGATGTTTCAAGATAAGCAGACTAAAGCTGAGCGCGAACGCGAGCGTGTGAGAGAGAATGAGAGCGAGAGCCAAATTCAGGGTAGAGACAATGCCATGGCTTACAGCAAAGCAACTTGTCCCCATGATGGGATTTTGTTGCAGTCAACCTAATTGTGGTTTATTAAAAAAAAACATTTGTACAAGGCTCCTCCAGTTGGTGATACATATACTGATATTGGACTACAGTGCCGAATAAACACCCTGTTAGCACCTACTGGTTGTCTTCAAAACGGGTTCTGCAACATTCAAGACATTGACATTTAAACTTGAACCAGAGTCTCCTTTCTAAGAATGAAAAGGGTGCCTTGTCTGTAACACATGAACTACACCTACTAACATAAACGGCTTAGGGCTCAGTTACTCACCGTCCCCCTGCGAAGGGCAAACTGGATGGAGTCCAGGTCAGAGACAGAACACCACACCTCAGCGATCAGACACTTCTGAGTGACATCAATGTTGCAGAGGTTGAGGGTGTGGTAGATGGCCTTCATCTTCCTCACCTTGATGAACCACACTCTGACCGTCTTGGCTGCAGCCTGCAGGACCCTCTGCCTGTGTTCCTCAGTCTGGTTCAGCACCTTTGGGGGCAGACAGGAGTAGAGGTGGTTGTGGTCAGAATTAAATCCTTTTTTTTCTCTCCATGACTGTTTCAGAAGCGAACTTTTAATTACATTTCTGTATAATTCTGTGTAGAATATTTTATAAATGTCCACTGTGGGAGCCAACACCTATTCCTTCCATTTTTGTTCACCCTGTGCTTTTTTAGGATCTACAAGAGGATGAGACAGGTCATTTTTCTCTTAATCAGAAATGACAAACTCTTCGTTACAGTGACCAGAGTTCAATTATTAACCAACATGCTATTTAAGAGGGAAAGCAGGATGTTCTAATTATCATAAATGCTCAATGACATTTACCATCTAGAAGTATATCTACTTAAAGCCACAGCTATGTGAATTGTAATGTCCACTACAGTCGGAATAATCTTTCATAATAAGAAAACAAAACATAGCAGCAATGAATCATACATTCCTTGATATTTCATAGAAAGGGTTTGCATTTAGTGGCATGACTAGGAGGGCTGGGACGATATGTTTACCTCCCGATTTGATATTGTCACAATACTTTGGGTGTCGATTCAATATGTACTGTGATTCGTATTCGACAAGTAATGCGATTCGATATTAGGAATTCTGTTTGCTTTTTTTTTGGTTTAAATAATATTATCACAATGCAAATTCTGTGTTAATGGTAATTCCCATTATGATTCAGAAAATTTTAAAAAATATATTACAATCATTAAATAAAAGAATCTTGATACTTATGTGATTACTAAGCAGTAAGTCATGTTAGAGAGCAACGGGCTGTCTAAATCATTAGGTTTTCCAGAAAGCGATAAAGGATATTCCCAGGTATGCTGCTGTATGACTTACATTTAAAACAGAGTCCCATGATCAGCAAATAGCAAGATATTTAAGCTCTGTGCAGTCTGGCTACAGACTCGCCTGCTGTAGAGAGGCTTAATGGCCCACACATAGCTGATTGCCGTCCAAATAGCTCAACATTCTTCCTCATCCATGCCATTCGGTCATTCAGCTCTCATGCCCACATAACAACAAGCGTAACACTGCATCCACGCGCACCAAGATTCACAGTTCCCCGTATACAAAGCGGTGATAGGATGTTGATTGATTTGTCAAACAGGACACATGCCAAATATCAAGTATCTGTCTCGCGCTAGCCGTTTCTGTGGCTGTGGCAGTGAAGTAACTAAAGAGACTAAAACACTATAGCCCAGGCTGCAGCGAGTACAACAAATGTGTGCTCTGTGATATGAGAGTCTGTGTGACATGACATGATGTATAACACCCATAACAGTGGCTGTATCTTCATCTGACAAAAATAAAAGTTTCTTATTTGCAAAGTTAAAAGAAGGGGCTCTAACTCACAGTAGATAACAGGTTCCTGGGGAGGAAATTCATGCAAACTCAACGCACATACAACCACAGAAAGCAGAGAGAAACGAGACCCCACCCAGAGCATATGAAAACAATTGTGTCATGGAGGATGTGATGATTTCCAAAGCCATGCCATACCAGTGTTTGTGAGTCTACTTGCTTGATTATCAAGGAAAATGCATGCTTTGAAATGTGTATTTCTCAACTTGAACAAAGTTAAACGATATACAATATTAATAACAATAACTAGTAAAACAGATGAAAAGAACAAGGGGAGCATGTTGCTCTACAGAGGAGGCGGCCTGAAGCAGCACATATTGACACATGGCATCCTGGCTCTGGCTAAATCTACATCTGACCACTGCAGAGACACTATCCACAACCTGGGGGAGGAACTAGTATACATGACAAAAACAACCCACAGAAATAAATTTTTATATATATATATATATATATATACACACATACATACACACACATATATATATACACACATATATACATACACACACACACACACACACACACTATATTCATCATAATTTCATATAGTAAACATTTTACCACTAGTTCAATATTAAATCCAGTTACAGCCATTTCATTTCTGTGGGTTGTTTTTATTTAATCATTGTGCAAGCAAAATGCTCTACACTGGTCTCTAATTTGTTAATGCTGTTCAACATTTGAAAGTTTGCTGTAGCACGTTAAGCTTTTTTTTAACCCCTCCAGGCTGTGATTGGTCTGTTGAAAGTCTCTGTGAAATGTTGAACATGTTGAACAACAAAAGGCACCCAGACAGCGAACATTAAATGGCCAGCGAGCCAAACCTAAACCTTCCTTATGTTGCTCTTGTTTTCTGCTGTCATTTGTGCAACCGAAATCAAATCAATTTATTGGGTATAAAATATATGGCTTAGAGACTAGACAGGAAGCTGAGAATGAACTATGTGTTACTGTCTTAACTGTCATCATGCCTTACGAAATTAACCGTAGATTTCTGAAGAATCTCTTCCTGACAAAGCAGAAACCCAAAAAAAAGGAGAACTAAACAGTTTAAGTGTGTTTTTGTGGCATTCAGTGACTCAACATTGCGTAGGTGTTTCCCCTGATAGTGTATTTACCATTTGCAGGTCCTCAATGCGTGCGTTCACCCCTGCAAGCATCTCTTTCCTCTCCTGGGGTGTTTCTGGACACGGGTACAAGGTCGCTCTGAACCTGAAGACAGATAAATAAGCACATATAAAGGAACTGTTGGCCAAGAACACTTCATAAAATTATACAAATGTTGGCCAGCCATTTACCCCTCACAGATCTTCTTGACTCTATTCTTAAGCTGGTCTCCCTGGAAGAAGATGATGAAGACAGACTTGTGGACCTGGTCGCCCTGTAGAAACATCATACAGTCAGGACATCAAAAAAGACTGAAACGGTCACTACATCTGACTAACTTTAGAGGAAATTTAGAGACTACTGAACGTGATTTTATTTAACAGTACTAACCGAAGTCGGGTCCTCCAGTGGATCTTCAATGTCTGCCTGCCTGAGGAACACATTTCCTCGACAAACTCTCCACAGCATCCTCTCAAATGTGGGAATACGTTCCCTGCCAATGACTCCAGCCACAAATCTATAACAGACAGAAACATTTTGTCACTTTTGGCACAAACTTAAAAACTTAACACTCAGCTAGGCCCTTTATTAATAGTTAAAGTTATATGTCTCCAATTTCATAGCCTCAGCAACACAATTAGTAATACACAGTTTTAAAGTCTGGGTCATGCTTGAATAGCTGGAATATTCCTTATGTAAATGGTTAGCAACTTTAATTCTTGCTCAACAAGATATCAAATTCCTTTCAGTGAAATGAGACAAAAAAAAAAGACTATATTCCTGTAGTCATTCAGTTTCCCCCACAATTAAGGAGAATTTGGCAGCGTATTGCCTGTCTATTCTTTGGTTCTGTCTTAGGGAAAAGACCGTGAAATGTGAATTCTGAATTAATGTCCACTTTCGGTGACCTTTGTTGCCTGACTAAGCTGCCTGAGCTGGTGTGTGGGAGGTGACTGGCTAACACTCTGGTCTCAGACACTGATTTCAGCGGAAGTTCACACAATGGAAATGGAAATCGCAGAGAAAAGCTGAATCCTTCTGAATAAGGACAGACCACACAAAACAGACTGACCCCAGTCTGAGGGCAGCTCCTCGGTTAGCCTCATTAGGGTCCAGGGGGGCTGATGTCTCCTCCAGTAAACTGGGATCCTCCATCTACACGAGAGTCAGTTAACAAATCATCAGGAACTGCATTACCATATATACATACTTCTCAGACATTTTTTATGTATGTTGAGATTTGGACAGGAGAAAGATACAAGGGCTAGTAAATGGCTGAACAGCAACGTGTTTAAATGCTAAATGATTCACCTTAATTAAAGCTCACATAGTTTTGCCTGTGAAGGCAATGAAGTGAAATATAACTAATGTGAATAGCCGGTGTAAATGGGCCAAGGCCATGTGAGCTACTATAAACGATCACGAGTGAAACACCTTTTGCCAGATCAAGCAGCAATAAATGCTCCTTTGTGTGTATGTGATCAGTGCAGACAGCTTATCAGAACAATCTGTATTATACCCAGGCAAACCAGAAATTGCTGAGTTTACTAAAACATTGTTTAGCCACATTGAACATATCAAAAAGGTATGGTTTTAAAATAAAAGTAACAATATCAGTATCTTTAAAATAGTTTCTCAAGCTGTATTTAGTAGTTTTAGATGTTGCAACCATGGCAATAAACAATTATAAAGTTAAGTAAAATCAAACTCTTCTTTCAAGCAGCTACAATGTTGGGAAAATAAAAGACCTCAGCACATTGTTTTTCAAGGCCTACATCCACAGTTTAGCTGACCTCATCAAAAAACTGTTGTGTGCGACGCAGGATGTGCTTGAGCTCAGTCAGTTCCAGGAAGTTCTTTTTTAGGGCTTCTTGGTTGGTGTTTATTTCCTTTAGCTCATTTTCAAGCTTCTCAAATGTGGCCTGTGGGAGGATATACAGAGGGTTCAGCAGAGGGATGCAGTAGATGATAAATATTACAGTTTATGATTAAGAAAGAGAGAGAGCCGTTACCTCCAGGTCGATCATGTCCCTTGGGAAGGGGACCTCAGGGTTCTCTCCTGTGTCAACTATTGGGATATTGTCCTTCTTTATTTCTTTCTCTACAAATCCTGCAAAATAAAAGTAACAAGGTAAACAGATCAAAATTAGCATTCTGGCTAAATTTGGCATACCGTATTAAAACTGATGCAAAGCTGGATTGTTTATTAGTGTGCACTGACCATTTTAAATAAATAAATAAATAAATAAACCACCACTCCACATAGTGAGCACTAAGCTAAGGGCCCCACTTCTCTTTGTAGGGCCATTTAAAGGGTGGAAATCAAATTTAAAAAAATAAATAAATAAAAGGTGTGTTTCAGGAGACTGAGTGGCAGCCATGTTAACATCCACCCAGTAAACTAAAGGCAGAGGGAGCTCACTTACTCAGCTTGCGATCCATCTCCTCACATCGTCGTACTTCATTGACAAACTTTCGTTGGAACACATTCACATCAGGATTCAGCTGCAAGAAAAAATAAATAAAAATAACAAAAGTGAGGGTCAAGCAACAAAACATAATGTCATGTTTAAAAAGATATGACTTTAAAAAGATATAAATTGTGCATCAGTAACAAATTGAGAATGGGTTCCAGCACACAAACTACATCAGCAACTTATGCTAATATCAATGGACTGCCAGATACTGTATAAATGTTCACTGGCTACTCATTCTATCCATCATTAACCATTAATAAGGTATTTTCTATCTGTTACGAGTCGTAACAGATAGAAAATACCTTACGTAACTTACGACCCTCGGACCCTATGTTCTGTGTGCCGTTTCTTCTCTGTCTTAGCAGAGGCTGCCCTGCCTCCAATGCTAGAGCCAGCAGGCTGAGAAACACAGCTGATTCCACTTGCCTAGTCAGTCAAGAGCACAAGAGCTGGCGAAGAAGCTGCTGTCAGAGTCAGGGGACCTGAGAGCTGAGGAGACCGTGAAGACCAGATGGCAGAGAGAAACCCCACAGGGACTTCAGTGGAGTCCAGTAGTTGAGTGTATCTATAGTGTGGAGATTTAGCCTTTGTTTGCACCATGTGACTGTGCTTAATCCTGCTAACGCTACCTTTTGTCTGTGTTTACATTGCCTTAGTTCCCCTCACCAATTCACCTTATCGTTTCCTGTTTTAGGAAGCTGTTTTGGGTTTCACCGTCTTTGAGATAGACCTTCTGTTAGTCCTTACGTTCGTTTTTATTTATTTGAACATAGATCTGTTTCCTTGTCTCCTTCAAGCCCCACAATTATACATAAATACATTTAAGAAGTGTACAAAAGCTGATTTTCTATATAATCATTTACAAATTGTTACAATAAAATTTTTTTAAACTGGTGGAATATGTCAGAGGATAGTTTGGTAAAATGGATTAAGATACCACGGTTGATGCACAGACCTACTCTGTTATATTCTAGCACAAAGCTTCCCTCAGGGCTTGTCAGGAATGGGCTTTTTCATGTGTGGAATGAGGGGTCAGCTGTGAGCACATGATGACCATGATGCAGAAGGCACGCACTTTCTGAACAATGTCAGTGATGTGGTAATTTTTAAGTCACCATGACAGGTAACACTTGATGACTTAAGCATGCTAGCCCCCCCCCCAACAAAACAACAGGTACCAGTTTTGGGAAGAAGGGCAAACCAAAGCACAATTTGTAGATAAACAAAGCCATCATAATTCAGGAGGACAACAGTGGACTTACGTCACGAAACTGCACCATCCCGATCTCTCCTAGTTCACTGACACAACAGTAGGCAGCTTCTGACTGAAGGAAGAGTTGAGCCAGCGTCATCTCTTCACTTCTGAAGAGTTCTCCCATGTTGCTGAAGGATGTGAGTGCTCAGCACTCTTAAAATCCACCAGAAACTCTAGAGGCCGAATATTGATATTGTCCATTAGTGACACTCAAATACTAGCAAACTTGATTTTCAGATGAAGTGAAGTGAGACAACCGCTAGCAAAATATGAAATATCTGAGTAGTTCTATATTCAACATGTTTCTCTACATCGCACGTAAGTGTCAAATCACTAATGAGGGAGGCTTATATCAGTTGTGTGTTAGTTTAGTACAAGGGTGAGAAGCCGGCATGTGACAAAAACAGAAAAGAAATAAATATGGCAGCTTGCTCCCATGCTAATCTCATGATCAGTGCAGGAATGTAGTTACACTGAAAAGGATTTTTTTCTGTACCATTACAATATAGGGGACTTTGAAGTGGCTATAATTTCTATTAAGGGAGCAAAGTACTGGTTAATAGTCAATGTCACTATAATGCAGTTTCTGTATTGCTTGTCATGTAATACTAAATGTGAGGATTTCCTCAGGATATCTTGCAGCGAAGCAGCATAAACTCCCAACTGTAAAACGACCACACAGGGTTCCTGTAACGTTAATCTGTGGATTACAGAGTAGCATGTGACCTGTAGCACTAGTAAGCCTCCACTGTCAACACAAAGTGCACATTATCTGAATGAACACAGCATACAGGTTTTGCATAACACCACAAAACTTGACAATTTTAATGTTCATCTAGTCGGGTATAGCGATCGTTCCTGTAATTAGCTTAACGTTAGCAAGCTTCCCTGACTAACTTACAGCAGCTTCACCTGTCAAAGCGGATATCAAACAGCTAATGCTATTAACAAACCAAATTAACATGTCAATCGATGCACCAAAACTATTAACATCGCAAAATACAATACGTAAGACATCACTTAAGCTAATTAACGTTAGCTAACCTAGCTTTTACGTTATTTAACGTTAGCAAAATGATTTTAATTTAGTTGACCGGTGCTGGTCCGATTAGCCAGTGTTGGTTAAAGAGTAACTTTAATATTAGGAACAAGATGACGTTGTACAGAGATTAATATTAACTTCATCTGACATCAGGTTGCTGGTCAGCTAACTTAGTGTTAGATAACGTTAACCTATAAAGAGGGTGTGGGGCTAACAAGATAGCTAACGCTAATATAGCGCACCTGTGTTCAATAATAACATCAAAGCTATCGTACTTTCATTGACAAGTAAGCAATAGTTTTTAAACATCATGTCCTTACTGTTTAAGTGGATATCGTGTCTCTCTCTCTCCTCTTTGCTTCCTTCTTGGTTTCCTCTCTCCGTTTGTTGTGGACTGCTCGATGGTCGGTGTGAAGCAGGTTTGAAACAGCAGACAGCTTCTTTTTCTTCTGCTGCTGTTTTCACGTTTTACGGCAGTTTGCATTACTGCCACCTTCTGGTTAGGTCGGGTAATCAGTCCAGTGGCTGTACAATTAATAACATAAAATCAATTAGTCATGTTACGCCTTCTAGTCTGTCTCCATAGTCTAATATACTTACTACTACTGACTTGTCCTGTTTTCCACACTTGTGTGATCATCACTTGTCTCGATTCTGTATATTTTCTGCGTGTGACTAGAATAATGCTAATGTCTCTTTTTCACGACACTGATCACAATGACCTGTTAGATGTTTTCCCTGATGAAAGTTGTCACTACTGTGTCAAATTCTTTGTCTGCTTTTTGTCCTGTTAGCTCCTGTACTTCTTACCATACCTACTTGACTTTTGATTGAGTGTTGATTTTGTTCTTTTGTTGCACAAGCCCAATACAATCATTTCACCAATTTATTTCAGCATCTTTTACAAATTTGTTTGCAGGGACACCTGAATGTGCTAGGACCCACATGCATTCGATATTTCCCCCTTGACTAACTATTCTTGAATTGGCAAAGAAGAATTCATTTGTAGATTTTGATGATTACTGGCTGTAACTGTCTTAATGCATTTGAGTGCTGTTGAGACAGAGTCACTACTAATGAGTATTTTTGTGTCACAACATCAGCATCGCAACAGAACAGTATATATATTCAAATAATCTCATGTTCTTTCTTAAATTTTCACCAGGTAACTGGGAATCAAAACTGTGGACCCTGTTCCATCTGTTTGGGTAGGATATGTTTGGTATTTAGTTAAGTATGCGTTCTATTTCCCACTGCTACTTTACATTTATCATCCCACCATGGCACTGCTTCCTCGTTACCTTTAACGATGGACACTAATGCAGCTGATATTACCTTCTTTTTTTTATCAAATGTTTCTGTGTAAATATTAGTATCAGTCTGACACTTTCTTTCTAAAATTTCTCCCAATTAGCATTCTCAAATACCCATTTCTCACTGTGTTAAGTGATATAGACATATTTATTGACCAGATGATTGTCACTCTCTGGGGTTCCTTCCTGGTACACCCTTTAATCACATATTGGTGCCAATATTACTGGAAACCAGCGTAAGTCTAGCATAGATTCCTTTCTGTTACAAACATCTTTCATTGATTTATGGGAGGTGATGGGGCAGTGGATAAGACACATGCCTTTGATGTGAGAAACCCAGGTTCAAATCCACTGTGAAACACCAATGTGTCCCTGAGCAAGACACTTAACCCCTAGTTGCTCCAGAGGCGTGTGACCTCTGACATATAAAGTCGCTTTGGATAAAAGTGTCAGCTAAATGTATTTCCATAATTTAAGCACACAAAATTATTTTCATCTAACAAATCTTCCATTACCTGATTATTATCTGTTTTCTCACACTCCCATCATGTGTTATGCCCATTAAATTCCTGCACCATAGAATATTATTTCTATTCTGTAAGGAAGTATTGCTGCTCTTTTTATGTCTACACTACATCTTTGTATGCTGTAAAAGTCTTACTGTTTTATATTTATATTTATTTATGTTATTCATTTTTTTGACAGGAACAATGCTCATTTTACTGTTAATGAGTCAGAGTTAGCCTAGAAGGTCTGTCTCTGGTCAGATAAAAAAAAAAGGCAATCAGAAAATAGAAATTAACAACATTTTTTAACATTCATATACACAACATAAAAATACTAACAGAATAGCACAGTGCACATTCACCAATAACACATAGTATACCAGTTTAATCCAAATTAAGTAAGAAACAAGGTTTGGTAGGGCAGGACATGGCAATTTTATATACTGCACATTTATTTACAGGTAAACTCATAGTGCTTTAAAACACATACAGCAACGAGTTACATGTACATAAAAATAAAATACAAGAAAAGACAACAGCAACAAATGAAAAGAGAAAAACCAGGGCGGTGAGGAAAACTAGAAGTTGCTGTTTGAGCATGTGCACACGAGTATACACTGCCTTCTAATGGTCACCGTGTGTAATTACATGCTTATTGTAAGTTTAATTTTGAATTGTAACCGGAAATTATGCTACACTATTGTGTCTGCCTTGAACAAGACTGTATACAAAAAGGCTTTGAACCTGCTTGAGCACAGTTGTAGTTACTGATTTTCACCACTAGAGGGCAAGATAACTCAAGCTCTGGTGTCTGAAGTAAAAAGTAGCTAGCAAGTTACCAGTTAGTTTATCCTTTTGTGATGGGTTGTTGCTGGATTAATGAGCTGAAATGCACCAATAACATGGGCCAGGCTTCATATTGCTTGATTACAATATGTTCATATTTTAAATACAGCTAGGCTACTGCTAACATGACTGTATGAGACATCTTGATGTCTTTATTGTCCATTGAACAATGTGGGGTTGGATCTTGAAGGTGAGGCTAATTAGCCTAGGCTAATTCTCTGACACTAATAAAAACTTTAAGAGGAGGATTCCCTCCATTAAAGACATCTAAATGATTACGTTCAGTCAGTGTAATGATCTGATTGTGTTTGTCACTGAATGAGTAACTTACTAGTTAGCGTCGAACTTAACATTGCTCAATATATTATACTATACATACTATATGACGGCAATGCGAATCATTAATGTACAGTAGCTCGTTCTTGATTTCTTCAATTTGGTCACTGTGTTTTGAAAGTATTTACAGGTCACTGTGTTTTGAAAGTATTTACAGATGTTAAATAATAGTAGTGATATATGTATATACCGAATATAATATTACCAGAAGTTGTAAGCTAGCATCTCTGCGTTGACGCTGATTTGACGAATTACATGTAGAGGTTGCTGTGTTTGTGTGTTTAAAAGTTATTGCTTTAATATAGTTTAATTTCTAGTAAATGAACTGTTAAACTTGCCACCTTCCACACACAACACATGGAAGATCAACATGTCTTATATTCTCTTTTACATGTTAAACTTTGCTGCTTCTGATTAATTTTTAATGTGTTTCTTTCCTTTAAATTTAACATGTGACTCTAGCGATATGACATAACCACAGTTTCAGAGATTGTGAACTAAAGGTTCAGTGTGTACATTATAGTGACATCCAGTGGCGAGGGTTGCAAATTGCAACAAATGGCCCCCTGTGCATTCACTTGCTCGTCCGACAAAATAAGTACTTTATAATAAATGTCTTAATTCTAATGGCAATTGTAAATTCAGCAGTAAAAAACTAACTTTATACTTTTTCTCCAATAGGGTTGTACATTATATCAATTTCATTTCTAAATTCAAGAAAAAAAAGGCTTTGAAAACTGTGAACTGTGCCGCCATGTTTTTACAGTAGGTAGGAACTGCGGTGTATGTAGATAGAAATGACTCATTGTATGTATATTGTATTACATTCTTGTCAATAGATCCTCCTAAATATTACACACTGAACTTTTAATTATCATATTTCACTGGTCTGAACTGATGGTGGTATTGGATCTCGCCTCTAGTAGCCCTCACCTTTCTGTGTTTGATAGGAGTCAGTCACGTCTCCATAAGAGGCGGAGTCTGGATATCTGCTGCCCCGTGGGGACAGAATGGGGTGGAGCCCCAGCAGCAGGGGGAGTCAGGGTCCGGGTGTAGGAAAGAAAAAGTTTGACTGAGTGGTTTCACAGGGAGGAGAGGCATTTGAGTCAGGGCACACATGCCTCAGCTGTGAGAGGCCCTACTCCCCTTGGCTGGCTGGCATCCCAGAGCAGAGCAGAGAGAGACATAGTGTGTGAGAACGAGGGTGAAGAGAAAGTTTAAGAGTAAAGTAGACTAGGAAGAGGCAAACAAGTGGTCAAGAAAGTTATCTGAAATTAAAGAGAAAGATTAGGGACTAAGTTGAGTGCAGTGTGGCTCCTGCAGGTTGATTTTCAGTAGTGTATTTTTAACTGTAGTGAGTGTGCAGACGGTTTGTATTTGGAGTTGACAGCCATGGCGGATACAGGTGTCAAGAAGGAGCATGCAGTCCTAAAAGAAGTGCCTTATGATGATGACGAGGTCGCTCTGGTGAGTGCTGCCACCGAGCCGGCAGTAGATGACGATGACCCTGCAGAGGAGGTGGACCTGGTGCTGGCAATGGGTTCTGGAGGCAAGAGCGAAGCACAGATGAACGGGGTCATGGTTCTGTCTCTGCTAGACAAGATCATTGGGGTGGTAGACCAGATCCAGCAGACCCAGAATGGGCTTGAGGCCCGGCAGGAGACTATGGAGAAGTCAGTGTCAACCATCCAAGGGGAGCTGGCTAAGTTGTCCAAGAACCACATTGGCACAGCCAACACTGTCAACAAAATGCTGGAAAAGGTACGCAAGGTCAGCGTCAACGTCAAGACGGTGCGCAGCAACCTGGAGAAGCAGGCGGGCCAGATCAAGAAGCTGGAGAGCAACGAGAACGAGCTGCTCAAGAGACGTAACTTCAAAGTCCTTATCTACCAGGTGAAATGGGGGGATACTGAGGGCTGCTGTATGTTTATGAGCTTGTTCTTTTATTATTTTCATCACAGGGTGGACTAAGTAATAACAAATAGTCTTTGTTTGAGAATGTGGTGGGGATACTTGTTGCACACAGAGTACAAGTTAGTCCTGAAAAGGGTTGGGTTACATTCCCCACCTCAGAGTTGGCAGAGAGTGTGAAAAGCACCTGAAAAGCTATGAAACCATCAGAGCCATCATCTCACCAGCGACTTAATGTAACACTATGGTATGAGTTGACCCTTGTTAGTGAAAATGAATAGTTTCTCAGGATACAGGATGCTGGCAATAGTTTCGGCTCTGTGGTTTCCATGACTGACTTTCCATGACTTAAATGAGGCTGTAATGTTTACGAAGAATCAGACACTGTGGTCCAGTATTTAGAAGCTGTTGTATAATTTGCAGTCGCGCTCAGTGAGAGGTGGATTCTTCCTCTCTTTAATGAAGGGAATACCAGTAGCTTCCATGGAAAAATGAAGGCAGATAGTGACCCCTCCCACATAACACAGGACTTCATGATTACCCAATGAAACTATTTAAAGACTAGTGGGTGTAAATAAAAATATAAGGCCTATAAACACAGGAATGAAGGGCTACTTGAGACAGAACCAACGCCCCACCTCTGATTGCTCAGAGGAAGGATAGTTGGCAGGCTGCTGCCATGTAAGATGAAGATATAGTTTTTGTTATTAAGATTTCTCAGAAGTAGGACACTGGCTGCATTCATGCATTCATGGTGCACAAACTTGCACTTGAATATGTGAGGACATAAGAAGTGTGGGAATTGGGGTTGGGGCAATTTTATTTTAGGAAGCATAGCAGCTTCTCCTCAGAGAAACAATCGGGACCATGATCATTTTAAATATATTTCCATTACATTTATTCATTTAGCTGACACTTTGATCCAAAGCAACTTACAATAGCTATAGATGTCAGAGGTTGCACACTCCTGGAGCAACTAGGGGTTAAGTGTCTTGCTCAGGGACACATTGGTGTTTCACAGTGGATTCAAACCCAGGTCTCTCACAACAAAGGCATGTGTCTTATCCACTATTCCATAACCCCCAAGTGTTTCAGTGGAGCACTGATCGGTCTAACTACCATTTTGCATTTGAACTCCTTTTTTTTATTTTTTAGATAAACATGCTGTCATGTCTGGCTGGTAAACTCGCTGCTTACATCATGCATGCAGCACTTTACTCTAAGTTTATTTTTTGTGCAAAGGGCTCTCGTGCCCTTCGATCTGGAATTTAGTTATTAGACTACAAATCAAATGACAAGAAATGGTCAGTGGTCGTTACCTTATGCGTATCATAACCTCTGCAATATGCTAGCTAGAAAAGAGAGAATATTTTCTTTGAAAAACATTAGTAACAGTGAATGTGAGAGTTGCAAGACTCTCGTGAGTAGAGCTTACTTCAGGATCTGTATTAGCAGGCAAATATTTTCACACCCCGCTCCTGGGATGTCCACCGTCGGAGCGGGTTACACTATTGGCATCTAGCAGAAATCCAATCATAGATGTTAGGCCTTAATAAATTACTCTGTAAAGCAGGTGTCTCCCCTCCCTACTGCAAGCGTTTTTAACTGCATGTCTGTGAGCAATTGTCAGTTTAGGACACAAAAGTAGTACAAGAAAGTGTTCATAAAGCACTAATTTATAAAGCTTAGGATTTTACCGATTTTACTCTTACCCTAAGTTTTGATTGTTTTTCAGCAGATGTCATCAGCAGATTTAAATCATTCCAAATAATTTCCTGTGCTGTAAGCAATGTAAAACTGTTGTCACTGTCTTAACATGGTCCCTGTCACGTTTTCCAAGTGGTTGTAGGAGCTTCTATGTTGCAGTAGCTGCTTCTTGCTCCCACAATCTATTTATTGCCAGAGAATGACTGTACGGGTGTCCAGTTTAACTTAGGCTGGCCCGAAATTGGCAGCATTGCAAATCTGCACTGGCTCTCAGCCATGTTTCACCCCTTTCCACTGTCTGTTTGTGTGTTAATGTGTTAGAGTAGGTTAAGTTTAGAATTAGGTTAAGGGTTGAGGTTAGGGTTTGTAGAGGTTATAGTTAAGGTTAGGTGATGAATTACCAACACGTGTGTGTGTGTGTGTGTGTGTGTGTGTGTGTTCGTCCATTCCTCTGATACCAGCTTTATCTGTAGATTCCGTATTTTTCTCTCCTGTCACTCTGTCCGTGCACTCTGAGAATAGCCACATACATCAGAGTTTCTAGCAACGGAGGACTTGACAGTTATGTTTTATAATTAAACCTTCAACGATGGTTGCACGCAGGATCCCTTGGCAACAGCAGGGTGGGGCGATGAAGACATGTTTACCAAATGTACATTACATATCAGTATCACAGTGTAGAAGTACTCCATGACAAGTCTTGCATTCAACATTTTATGTGAGTAAAAGTACTGAAGTATGAAAATATAAAGTGGTTTAAAGTACCAAAAGTAAAAGTACTTATCATGCAAAGCCATTTTCACGGTATATACAATATTGTTGGATTATTGATGCATCAATTTCTAAGCATCTCTAATGTTGCAGCTGGTAGGTGGAGCGGATTTTAACTACTTTATATTATGCTTAATTTAACACAATGCATTTTAAACCGCAATTTATTTTATCAATAATCTGAATCGGCAAAGTAACAAGTGACTAAAGCGGTCAAATATATGTAGCAGAGTGAAAAGTATAGTATTTTCCCCCAAAATGTGGTGAGTAGAAGTACAAAGAAGAATAAAAAGGAAATACTTAAGCTAACTAACTCAAAATTGTACAGTATTTGAGTAAAGTTGTTAAATTCCACCATTGTATCTCAGATATGCATCACAATATTTTGTGATAACAGATCTGTCAAGATCTAATCCCAAAACAACGGTGTTCCTGTGGTTCCTCATGAGACTGAAACATGAGCCAGCCTCACTATGGTCCCTCTTGAACAAATAAAATCCTCATCAGAACCATGATTGTGCAACTGTACTTTAGTTAAAGGATTGCATTTATATTTTGGGAGTTTAGAACTTGAAATATATGTTAGAGAGGGGCATCTGTGGAACATTTCCGTTACAGTGTCTTTCTGGAGTTGCAGGGCTGGACTTTTAGAATAACAAACTCCTTACTGTAAGTGACCTTGCAGCAGCTGAGGTTCTTCCTGCTGCACAATCAGCCTGTCATCAGGGCTAAAAGGCCCACAAATGGTCAGTGATCCAATGGAGCCCTGCCTTCACACCTCCCCAGAGTTTCTCTGCTCTGACCATATTGCATCTAATATTGCTGCCTTTTATAGACCAATTGTCTTTCCAGAAGAAACATAATCATTCTAAATGAGTCTAGGTTTATTTCCATATTTCCCATAAGTCTCATATTGCCAGGCATTAGAATATTTTATTTCAGCCTCGCACACCTAATTTCCTTTTGTAGTGTTTCCTAAAAGCACTTACTGTCAGGAAGTACACTTAACAACAGCAACATTGTGATAAAACGATTTATAAAAAATATTGTGGCTCATTCTCTCATCTCATTGAAGCCTCATGATGGATTTAATATAATGATGATAAATGTTGTAAATGTTGCTCTAGAGGCTTTCTGTTTCTGTAGCAACTCCACATTCAATCAATAAGGAAGCAGCGCTTGTCTTTTTGTAACAGCTATACTTAAATCTTTCGCTTGGAAAATTACTAAAATGATTATTCAACTATTTGTTTTAGATAATGTTTTGCCATTATTTGATAGAACAGCTAAAGAAAGAGATAGGAAATATGGGGGGGAGAGAGGGGGGAGATGATTAAGAGCCACAGGCTGGAATTGAACCTACCTCCTACAATTCCCAGAATGGAACTTCACCCCAACGGCTACATGGGAGATTCGGGTGTGTTATGCTAGTAATAGCTAATGTAATTAGCTAGCCTCAAGCAGAGATGACGTCTGGTGATCTCACTTTATAACTCCACACCCCCAGATTTTTTTATTCTCAATCTTGTATTCTTCAACCCAAACTGACACTGACTGAAGTGACATCACTTGAAGCAGTTAATCAGATTTTACCCAGCTACCTCATATGCAGTTGTACTTCCCAAGATGTGTGAAGACGGTTTTTGTGTGAAGTAGTGGTGTGAGTGCTCCTTTTAGTTTTATAAGGGGAACTGTGCTTTTATCAAGGACTTTAAACTGTGACTCAGCCAGTGGGAACTGGGGATCATTTGTGTGTTTCATAATGTGCATTATCTCTTTAATTATGTGGATTGATCTACTTTATGCAATGTGATAGTGTTGTCCATTAGAGTGTGAGACAGTATTGCTGTGTGTCTGAATTCTGGGTGTGTTTGGCTGCAGCTCAAGGACTGTGATACCCATGTGGTCAACTCTATCAGGGAGATGTAAGACTTCTCAGTTACAGTCTACTTATTCCACGCCAACCTCAAAGGCCTTCCAGAGCTCAGATCGCAGCCAACAAGCCCCAGCCCTATTTTCTTTAATAGCTTTTAACCCTGCCGGGACTATTTAATACCTCAATTCCACTTACTCTAGACATAGTAATCCAGTCATGGCTGTCGGTCACTTCAGCTTACTGAATCTTTGTTTCCAGGCATAAATCAGATCTCGGCCTCATTACAAAGAGGGTAGTTAGGAAGCACTTAGCCCCTTGCATGGGTGAACAACCAACCCAACTAAAAAGCACTCGACCAGCAGCACCAACTTAGTGTTGTGATTCATCCTGCTGGCATCTGTCTGACTCTCCTGCCAACATGCCCACTTGTTCTCCTCCCTTCTTCTCAGTTTCTCTCCCCTACCACTCCCGCTATCGATTTAGCCCGTTCCAACTCAGACGTCTAATGTAGAACCCAAGGGCACAGCTCATTCAGTATTTGCTACAGTACATGTACACTATGTTGTTCTCTTCCAGTCTCTCCTCTCTGTCCTTTTTCTCCTGCTGCACTCCTCTTCTCTTTGCTAGT